AGCGTGGGTGGGTGCTTTCCCCCTGCTGGCTGGTAGCGAGAATCGGGAGATCCGGCTGATTGCTGGCTATCTGCCGTCATCATGCAGCCCATATCTGACGAGGAAACCATTGCTTCATTCCCACACCACACCCTGACACAGGGCCCTGCTTGGTGCCCACCTACCTGCCTGCCCCCAGAGGTGCCACCCAGTCCCATGGGAGCCCACCTGAGGCTGCCCTGTGCTGTGGCACTGTCCACCAACTGTGTGTGTCTTCCTGTGCCCTGGCCCTACAGAGCGCTCCTCACACCCAGCTTCCCAGAGGACCCAGAGGCAGTCCTGTTCGCTGAGCCTGCCACGTGCCCCTTTCTCCCACCTCTACTTTCCCTCCTCCTCACAGGCACTGGACCCTGGCCTCACTGGGCCTGTGCTAGTGACCCCTCTGTATCTCCAGTCCAGGTTCCTTCCAGGAGCTCCAGACCGCACACAGTCGTCCAGGAACGGGCCTGAATCCACTTTACAAAGGACTTGAAAATCTCCACAGCCAGGCTTAGCAAGGCATCTTGTTCAAACCTGCCTCACTGCTGGGCACCCACCTTAGCTGTGCTCAGCGGCCCTGGTAGAGGCTGGCTAGGCCTCTCCCAGTCCCTCCCGGGCCCCGCACACCTCAGTCGTGGTGAATTGTCCCAACCCTGATCCCCTCATTCTTCAGCTTGGCTATGGGGTCTCTTCCCTGGCTAGCTGCTCCTGCCTCGTCCCGCTGGCCTCCCACAGATCCAGGCAGGTCACATGTTGGAAAGAGAGAGGCAGCTGGGGGTGGTGCTGCTGCTGGTGGGGCGGAGGTGTGGTCATCACGGCACTGATGTTACTGATGGAGACGAGGCTCGTGATGGAGGAGAGGTTAATGATGGTGGAGAAGTCAAGGATGGAGGGGAGGTCAGTGCCTACCAGTCCAGGCCTCTGACCTGTTCTACCTCAGTGGGCCGGGTCCTCAGGCAGAAGTGACCTGCATGTTGGCAGAAGCCCAGGCTCAAAAGATGAGAGGGACAGGGAGTAGTGACGGGAGATGTAGAGAAGCAGAGAGCTGTGGAGTGTGTGGCCATAGGTCACTCGTGGGTCTTTCCTGGGCCCCTTCTGTGACAAGTGGTAGTGGCCACAGGCCCTTGCACCTCCGGAGGCTCACTGGGGCCCCAATGGGCTTGGGAGGGACTGATGGGTCCCACCCTGGGCAGAAGTCTCTGCTCATTTTGGACCTCAGTGATCTGTGTGGGTCAGAGGGAGGCAGAGACCCAGCAGCTTTTACTGGGGACAGCTCTGTGGTGAGAAGTGGCTGTTTGTGCAGTGCCATCCCTGTCAGGCCCGTGATGACGTGACAAGGGCAGGGTGCCAGGTGGCTCAGTGGCCTCCACTGCAGGATGGTGCTGCCTCCCAATGCTGGTCCCTAGTGGTGGTGGGTCAGTCTGCTTAGAGGCCTTTCTTAACTGGGAAGAATACATCTCTGGGCCTCTTCCCAAATCCATCCCTACTCTCAATTCCACCTATGCTGAATCCCCAAACCTGTGCTGAACCCCTAGCCCTTCTCCAACTTTCTCTCCCTTCAAGGCCACAGACAGTGCTGCCCTGCCCCTGGCTCCCACATATTAACAGCAGCCAGAGATCCTGGGGTCATCAGCCCAACGGCTCCACTCCTGGGGCATCGGCTCCTGCAGGTCCCTGTAGAAGGTCTCTGAAATCCCAGCTCACTGCCCCTCTCTGCTTCTGCTCTTCAGGGCTCTCCAGATCCCCACACTGTGGTCTCCTCTGCAGTCTGTGCCCCAGCATCCTGGCTGCCACCCTGACTCTCTGCAGCCAGGCTCCAGCTGCTGGCCGAGCCAAGCTAATTAATGTCTCAACTCCTTTATCAACCCCATGCTAATTACTCTTTTTAATCAAGGCTGCTTGAGGAGGCTCCTGGAGTGCAGCAGAGCAGGCAGCCCCTACACCCCCTGGCTACAGCCCTCACTGCTGCTCCCTGGGCCAGTCCTCCTCCTCCAAAGAACTACTGTCTTTTCAACACTGTGCCAGGTAACCCCCTGGTGGGAGGGGCCCTCTCACCCAGGTCAGGGCTATGGAGGACAGACAAGGCTGCACTGGGAGACTGGAGGCCATGAGTGAGGCTGGCCTTGACTCCAGAATAGAACCTAGAAATGTTAAATACATGTAGAGGCTATCTAGGCAGAGGCTGGGGAGGCCCAGGACTTCGGTAACCCTGGATCAGATGAGTGTTGAAGGGTTTTGTGCCACCTCACTGAGGGCCCTGGATCCTGGCACAGTTCCTGTAGCTTGAGGTGAGGAGCCCTACTTCTTGCCCCACTGAATCCTGGGGAAGACATCCATCCACTCGTGTGCTCCGGACACACACGTGCTTCACCCCACGCACACCAGTCCCACCCTCCTTCACCCCACTCCCTCGCAGACCCACAGTGGTAGGCTGACAGACAACCCCTGCTTGAGTGCCCACAGGTCCAGAGATCCCCATGCACCTGACAGAGATGCTGGCACATGGATACACAGGCATATGTGTACACGTGTGGCCACAGGCCTGGGAGGACAGAAGCCGCCCCTTCTGCCCCAGGCCCCAGGGTTTCCCGTTTATCAGCCGTTATCTATCAAAAATATATTAACCCAGAGCCTGTTTCCATCAGAGTCTCGATTCAGGGACACTTCCAGATAAGCCTTATCTCCCTGCTGGTGCATTAGCCCCGACGTTGGGGGCCTGCCAATCACATCGCCCCTCTGTCCCGCCTGTGGCAGGCTACCTGCTTGTGACTTCATCCATGTGGCAGGCTGCTGCTCCCACTCCCTTTCAGGACAACACACTTCCAGCACTGGGGAATCATCACAGTTCTACCCAAGGCACCAAGGCCCAGGGAGATCAGCTGCAATCCATGCTGATCCTGCAAGTCTGTGGGCTGGTGGCTGCAGGGGGCTGGGTCCTCTGTCGCCCCCTCCTCCATAAACACCAGGCTGGGCAGCCTGTGGGCAGTGTCACTCTGAGGGAGAACTGCCTGCCGCTCCCGTTCCTGCCCGCAGCCTGGGGTGGACCGCACCTTCAAAGGCTGCACGCCCTGGCTTGACCCCACTAATGGGTGCTTGGGTTTCCACTGATGCCAGGCCCGGCAGAAGCCCCCTCCTGGGGCTCAGCCATTCTTAGGCCACACTGACAGCTGTCCACACTGCACTCTTGGGGTCCAGGAGGCTTCTGGGTGGTTACATGCCTTTCCCAGCTGCACAGCTGTGAGCTGATCTCACCTTTGTGTGCCTCAGTTTCCTCTAATGGGGTCCACCTCCTCCCTGGGGCTTTGAGAACAGTCTTCAGCAGAGATACGGGGAGGGGTGGGGACCCTCACAGAGGTCCTGGAGATGGCTGACTTGGGCCCTCCGTCTCTCGCAGGGGAGGTATCTGCGGCCACTCCCCAGCTTCGGGAAGATGATCAGCACTGCTTGTGACCTCAGCCCCACAACCTGTAGGGCAGTGGTTCCTCTTTCCCACTGAGGGGGGCTCAGGGCTGGGGCATGCCCCAGGTCACACACTCCATGCAGGGCACAGCCTAGCCTGTAGGAGCACTGAGGATGAGCTTCACGTTCCTTGGTCAGGGAGGGTGTCCAGCTGGGAGACCAAGGGCCCGAGAATGAGGATGGCCAGAGGCCTCCACACTAAGATGGGAGTCCAGAGTGGGGTTCAGACCCAGCTCCGCCCCTCGCTGGTGCTGGGAGGCGGCAACCCAGGAAGGCCTCGCCAGTCTCTGCTCTTCCTGCAGCTGCTGGCCCTGCCTTCCTTGGACATGTGCAGGCTGGATAGGGCTGAGGACCTGGCAGGAGGGGTCACTGTGGCTGAGACATTTGCTCAGGTGGCAGCAGTGGGGTTCCCCAAAGTTTGTGGCAGCACCCCATGTGGAGACCCGCCCTGCTCCATTGGGGCCACAGCACTGGGAGACAAGCAGCATTGGCACCAGCTGCCACAGTGGTGGCAATGGTCACACTCACATGCACCATTCTTCTTCTTTGGGCTGACGCTCATGTCAGGGGATTGACTGGGAGAAGCAAGGGGCCCACAGGGCCCCAAGTTGGGAGCAAGGGCTGCCTGGACCTCTGGTGGCCTGGCTGCCAAGCCCAGACCCTGCCTGCCCTCTGGGTCTGCTGTCTCTGTGACTGACTAGTGCCTTGCCTCTGGCTGCCTGGGGCTCTTGGCCAAAGGTGGTGGAGGGCGACAGAGAGCTGCCGTGGTTTCTCCTGCAAGCAGGAGGGACTGGGCTCTGAGGCTGGTGTATTTAATTAGGGGCTGCTTCGCTGACCAGCCACCACACACAGGGATGTTGTGTTCCATGCGTCGCTCCTTTTCCCTTTGCCTTCAGTTTCTGGGGCTTAACAGCCCCAAGTCATTTGATCGCAACCTACCTATTAATATTTTTAATGCCATTTTTGCAAATTAAAGCATAATGCACTGATTCCCAGGATAAGAGGCAAGTCTCTGTCCGTTTGCAGACCAAATAAAGGAACGCTGTATATCTGTTCACCCACCAGTGCCTGGAAAAGCTTCCAGTTCCCTCAGTCAGCTGGTTCCATTCTTGCCTTTCTGAGCCCCATACTGACCTGCGGGGTGAGTGGCCCATGGGTGCAGAGGCCACAGAAGAACATGGGTAGGGCTGGTCCCTGGCCCAGCAGTGTGTCCTGCACCAGGCTGTCGCTGCCCTTACCTCCACCCTTGGCAGTGTGTTGTCCCCAAACCTGAGAGCAGGGGCCTAAGCACTGTTGGTGTCAGGACAGAGGCAAGCCCAGCCTGCTCTGCCCCATGTGCCAGCCCCTAGTCCATGGGGCCCTCCCTGGACTCCACTGCATGGAGAACCCTATTTTCCAAGGGCTAGGAGCCAGAACACAGGGAGCCCTGGGCTCAATCCTCTGGCCATTTACAGAGGAGCCCTGGGAACAGCCTTGGGGAGGGGTGGCGAAGCCAGAGACAGACAGACCAGCAGGTGGGCTGGGCCTCACACAGGGCATTTATTTGCATCTGCCAAGGGCCATCTATCTACCTGGGCATTAGACTTAGGCCCTCCTGCCAGCCCAGCACCCCAGTCTCTTAAGGGGGCTGCTGCCAACAGGACTGTGGGGAGGTGGTTGGTAGAGGCCCATCTGGGTGGGCATTTGGCACAAAGTCTGGCCTGGTCAGTCCCTCAGGGAGACTGGACCATGCGCTTGTGGGTGTCGAAGATGTAGCGCTTGAAGGACAGGCTGAGCGATACATGCTGTGTGGGCTCTGGCCGCTCGGTGCCCTCCTCCTGCTTGGCGGCCTCCCCGCGGCCAGCTCGGCCACGCTTCTTGAGGACAGGTGTCAGGATCTTCTTGGACTCTGGGCTGAGGCCACCTGCAAGGCAAGGGGGCGCTGTCACTTCCACACCCACAGGCACATGGCATCTTGGATAAGCCCTCCAAGAGGGACTTGGATGAGTCCCTCCCAAGCCCAGACCCCAGGCCACCCTGGACTCACCTACTGACTCCCAAAGACTGAGGCCTATTCTGTCACCCAAACCTCCATGATTTTGGTTCCCCTGACCCCATCCACCCTGCAGGCCTGTCAGGCGGACCAGATCCCCTGCTCCCGTCTGGGGGCTGCTGCCCTGGCTCCACATGGTCCATGCCTTCTGGTGTGAGCACCACCTGCCAGGCCTGGTGTTCAAGGGTCCCTGGCTGGGTGTTCCCAAATGCCCCAAGATGCCTTCCTGCCCTGTACACTTGGGGGGCTCCTGTGCCCTCTGGCCCCTAGTTAGGATTGACTGATGGGAGCTCCAGCAGGTCAGAGTGGAGGAGAGAGCAGCTGGCCAGAGCTCCTGAGAGGGTCTCTCCTCCTTGGCTCTGGCAGATGTTGCCCATCCCAGAATGTGTTCTCACAACCCTCTGTGGGCTCTTTGGGGCTTAGCTCCTCACCACACCCACAGCCTCTCAGGTGCTGCTGGCCCCTTGCTTGCTTCCAGCCCTCTGCCACTGGAAGAAGCCTCTGCGTCCTCCAGCACATGGTGCGAGAGCCACTCACTGTGGCTTGTTTCTTACATTTTTAGTTGACAAACTGCACATATTTACGGCCTATGACGTGATGTTTCAGTAGCTGCATACAGCAGGCAATGACTGGACCAAGCTTGCTAACATGTCTGTCACTAAACACACTACTTTTGTGATGAGAAATTTAAATTCTACATTTTCAGGTAGAAGGTTGGGCAAGGTCTGCAGGTATCGGCCAGCACTAAGGGGTTCCTTCCTCCCCCGATACTGCCTGGGGCGAGCCTTCTCTGAGAAGAAAGCCTCCACGAGGCTCAGGCCACAAGCTCCAGCGCCGACAGTCCTGGCTGGACGGTGAGTGGCTTAGTCCAGAAGATGCTGGCCACCTCTTCATTCTCCATATGAAAAAACAGAAGCCTAAGAGGGCAGGGTCCTCACTAAGGCCCCCAGTGAGTGTGGAAGAGGCAGGATTTGAACACCAGGGCCTCATCTGGTGGCTAAGCAGACTACTGCTCTACCCAGAGTGAAGGCAGGGACCCACCTGTAAGTGGACTTCTGATGCTGGTTCTGAAGAGGGACACAGGGCATCCTGCCCTGGCCCTGCTGCTCTAGATAATTAAAAAAGTGACAAAGGAGGGTGGATGAAGGGAGGTCTGCCCCGCCGCATGCAGGCAGAAGCGAGATGGTGGACCACTTCAAGCTCTGTATCCCCTGGGAAGGTGGGGAGCACAGCTGTTGCTCACAGGGCTCTGAGCCAGGCTGCCTACTGTGCACCTGCCAGAGAGTGCCACTGTGGACACAAGGGACTTGTCCCCTGGGGGAGGTGCCCTCTTGGGGCAGCAGGCCCTCTGTGGAGGCAGAGTGCAGCTCTTCAGGCCCCACACCTGGGATCTGCTGTCTTCCTGGGAGGGACACAGATTGTGGGGCATGGGGAGGGCCCTGGGCCAGTGCCCTCGAGCAAGTGCCAGGCTTGCAGGTCTCTGAGTTCCTGAGGTAGAGCATGCTACCCTGCTTCCTTCTGCAAACAGAGAAGGTGGCTGGCACCAGACCCTGACAAACGGCATGGACGGCCCGTCTCCCTCTGGTGCCAGGAGGTCTGATGTCTGACAAGGCATGGGGCTCCCTGGCGTCTGCGCCCTGCTGGGGAGACAGGCGTGGCCCAATCGGCAGTCCATCTCGCCAGTGATGGCTCTCGTTACACACGATGCATACCTCACACAGCCCAGAGTAGGGAAAGCCAGAAAATCTATCTGGCACCAGAGAGACGTGGCCATTCAACTGTTCTAAAGATGGCCAGCTTGTATACCTTGCTCCCTTACAGAGGCCTGGGAGCAGTACTCCGAGAGCCCTGTCCATGTGGTGCTGGGATTCATGGCAAATGCCACCTTCTTCAGTCGACTTTTCAATGCTTGGCTGAATAGTAAACGTGGCTGAAGCACATACCAGGGAGTGAGGAGTTGGAGCTTTGGCCTCCCAGCCAGGCTTGGCAGTGCACAGCCCAGGGCAGGCCACACTCTCCCAACCTGCCCCGGGTCTGACCCTTAAAGATGCCTGGGTCACACTGCAGGGCCAAGTGGTTGAGTGTGCAGCCCAGACCCAGCTCCCATGAGTTTCTGTCTGAGAAAGGCTGATAGAAAACGAGGCAGGAGTGTGATGCCCAGATAGTGTGAGGGCAATCAAGGAAATGGCTCTGTTCGTCCCCGCAGGGTGGAGGTGGCTGCTGTGGTGTGTGCCAAACACAGGGCTCACTGAGGAAGAATGTGGACCCAAGGCTAGATGACAGGGACTGGCCATGTGATTGCTGGCAAGGGTCTTGCAGACCAAGGGAAGCTAAGTGCCCAGCGCATAGGGCACCATGTGCCATCTCTGTGGGGGCCAGGCACTGCTGGGGTCAGGGTGAGTGGGTATGCAGCCCATGCTCAGTGAGTCTGCCCACCTGCCTGGCGTCCGTGTCGTATGGCCTGGTGCCCACCCTGCCACTCCATGCTCTTGGACCTTCCTGAGTTACCCGGGGAGTTGCAGTGCTTCCTGCCCCTGTGCCTCCTCCTTGCTGTTCTCCCCAACACCCAAACACACCTCCTTGAGTCTCTGACTTTGCTGGGCTCCCATCCAGGAAGATGCACCTCTGGAGTTCGAGCGATTCCCATTTCACTTCCTCCAAGTCACTGTCCAGATGTCACCCCTTGGTGAGGCCTCGTGACCCCCTTGTCATCATACCCTAGTGCTGCCCTGCCCTGTTAACCCACTCCTGTTCTCCTGATGCTCTTACCACTTTCTAGCAGGTTCTATAGTTTCATTTTGGTGTTTGCTGTCTGTGCCTGCTGAAATGACAAGTCCCATGGTAGCAGGGATTCTTGCCTGTCTTTTTACTGTGGTGATGCCGCTCTGAAGACTATGGCTCACAGCAGGCACAATACTCCTCAGTAAGTGCTGGATGAGTCTGTGGGGCCACGGGGGTGAATCTCTGCTTCCCAAGAACTCAGAGACCAGGCATTCAAAAACAGTCCAGAGATAAGCACTTACATGGTCACCATGTGGAACCAAGAAATCCCCTTGCAGGAAACAAACAAGCAGGGTGAGATTCGGCCTGAGTTTGTGCACAAACTCAGCCCCACAGCATGGAGGTGCCGCAGTCTCACAGTGGCTGCCCTGTCTGTGCGTTTGATCATGAGGGGATCATGTGTGCTGTGTCAGTTACAGAGGGGATCTAAGACCGAGAAGGGACATTCAGGACGAATCCAGTGTCTGCCTACTGTAGACCAAATCCACTGCTGCTCTGCAGGGGGAAACGTGACGCCAGTGAAAGACAGGTTATGTTAGCTCAAGCAACACGAAGTCAAGATGTTTGGAATCTTTCCACTGTGGCTGTGGGTGCAGAGGAAAGAGCGGGAAGTGGCTGTGCACAGGTGTCCCAGATCAGGGATGTGCTGTGAGTGGTGGTTTTTCTTCCTGTCTCCTTTTCTGTATTGCCTCAGGTATCTCCATGACCTTGGGTTGCTCTCCATGACATCTACTACTCATGGACATCTCCACGGCAGCCACTAGTGTGGATTCCATCCAGTGTCCAGTCCTGAGCCCAGGGCAGGTGCATCGTGCAGCCTCGCACTGAGGGAGAAGGGTGGGCAGGGGGGTATTTGTCTCCACTGCCCGGTGAGGTCAAAGCAGCCAACCAGCCAGGAAGCTCGCTGGTGCCTCTAGGTCAATGGTCATGTGTCCACCTCCATGAGAGCTGCAATGTCAAGGTCTCTGACTGCTGCTTGCACTAGGCACAGTGACAAGATACAGACTGAGGAACTGGCCTCTTTGTCCCCACAGCTTCCCTGGGCATCCATCTGACCACATGGAGCCTCTGGGCTTGGTTACAGAGAGTTGCCTGGTGCCCACCCCCCAACTCGGCCGCACTCTTGCTCATTCTCTGCCCTACCGAGCCCTGTTCTTTAACCACAAGTTACCCAGCGGGGCCTCTGAACACGGGTCCCTGTCTGGAAGGCTCTTCCTGCCTTTTCTACCTGGCAAACTCAAACTCTGCCAATGCCGCCCTGGAAAGCACCCCTCACTGACCCAGGCAGAACGGAATCTGCCCCAGAAGCCCCACTGAGCACCACGTTCCGCTATGGCTGCTGCAGGGCACACTTCTGCCTCCCCAGTGCTGGGTGCGGGGCCTGGTGTGCAGGGCTCTGGGAGGTCTGCTGGACGGAGACAGGGGTGTAATTGCCACTTCCATGTACTCACGCCCAGGTGTGCAGGACAGCAGGGTGAGGGCCAGAATGTTCCAAGGAAAAGCCCAGACTCCGACCCCAGGCTGGCCTGGTTGGACGTCCAGTGTCCTTCCTTTCCCGGGTGCTGAAGCGTAGCCCCTTACTGGCAGGTCAGGCATGAAGGATAAGGAAGGCTTCCCCTCTCCCAGGGCTTGGGGCCCAAGCCTGCTCTGTTCCCCTTCCAGCCCAGACCCCAGGATGCAATGGAAGTGGGCGGCAGTGACCCTGGTGACATTGCTACTAGTAGCTTCCTGCAAGGACCTCTCCCAGGGCCAGGCTGGCCCTTTCTCACCAAGTGCCAGCCCCACACAAAAGCACAATGGGCTGCAGACCGCTGGGTCTTGGCTAGGGCCAGGGGCAGTGGGGGCGGGGGGGAATGCGGGAAGCCTCCCTGACAGGGCATCAAAGGCCAGTAATTGCCTCCAATTGCTGGCATTGCTTTCATGTTGGGGGCCAGACTGAAAGAAGGGTTTCCATGCTGGTGAGTGGCTGGCACCCCCCAGTGGGAACTGAACCCTTGCAGGCAGTTGGGGTCACCAGGCCCTGGGGATTCCTGGGGCTGGGGCCGCTGCAGTCACTTGGCACCCCCCCTGCTGTGGTGGCAGCAGCAGCA